CCTTCTCGCCCCACCTCTGTCCCAGGGACCACCAGAGCTGCTGGGGGACAGCACTGGGGGGGGTCAGCCCCCACCTAGGGGGTCCATGCCAGCCGGTTTGCCGGGCATGGGCCTCAGCCCCGGGGTGCTGCTGGTGCCCGGGGTGGGGGCATCGTTCCGCGGCGTGGGAGTGTTCGACTTGAGCCCCGGCGTGGAGGATTTGTCATTCTGCATGAAGAGGGGGACAAACCAAGGAGGACGAGGGTCAGCCACCAGCAAAGCCCCCCCAGACCCATCAACACCCCCACCCCCCAGGCAAAGCGAAGGACGTACGTGGCCCAGGTCTTTAGTCTTGGAGGAGGGAGTGCTGCTGGAGGAGGCCACCGAGGCTGGGCTGTTGGGTGCATCGCCCTTCTTCAGCCCACGGGCTTTGTCTATGCCATTCTCCGGGGGGGAGTGGGCTGGGCTGACCCGGGGGGTGGCAGGGTCCTGTGGGACAGGAGAAGACGTTGGCACCCCCTGAAGCAGGGCAGGGGGGGCTGCTCCCGCTCCTCTGTCACGCTGGAATTCGGTTGGGAAGCCCCAAAGGCATCACCCCCCCACCCCTCAAACCTCCATCGTGCCACAGGGAGGGGAGGAGACCTGCTGGAACCCCCCCTTCCTCCAGCTCACCTCATTGGAGACATCGACCACCAGGTCATCGCTCTTGTCGCCGTCGCTGTCCTGAAACACAAAGGCAGTTACACCCTGCAGGGAGCTGCCCACCCCAGGGTGAGGGGACACCCCAAACCCCAACCCCCAGGAGGATACAGGTCACCCACACCACAAACGTGTGGAAAATATTAGAATGATGGAATGGTTTGGGTGGGAAAGGAGCTTTAGAGGCCATCATCTGGTGGGACCCCACACCAAAAGCTCTCAGACCCCTCCACCTGCGGCTCTCAGACCCCTCCACCAGAAGCTCTCAGACCCTCCTGGCCACCAGCCCCAGCCCCAGGGTGTCCCTGTCCCTTACATATCTGCTCATGCTGTCCTTCTCCTCTGCTTTCCTCTTCTTGGAGTCGATGCTGTAGTCTGTGGAGCTTCGGTGCTTCTCGCTGGCTCTGAGGCTCTCCGAGGGTGAGACCGAGTTGTTCTGCAAGACCAGAAGATGCTTTTCAGTTGGAAATGGAAGGAGACAGGATTCCACCAGCAGCAGATGAGAGGGTGCTGCAAACAGCCCACCAAGCCCCAAACCCAGCCCTGCCCCAGACTGCAAAACCCCAATGGTGGAGGAGACCCCAAAGAGCAAGGGACAAGTCCAGCCTGGCCTGGAATCATCCCACAGACCAAAACAGGTGGGTGGCTGACATGTTGGAAAGCTCTGCAGAAGGACCTGGGAGACCTGGTGGACAAGTTCTCCGTGAGCCAGCCAGGAGTCCTCATGGCCAAGACCACCAATGGTCTCTTGGGGTGCATGAAATAGTGTGGCCAACAGATCCAGGGAAGTTCTCCACACCCTCTACTCTGCCCCAGCAATGCCATCTTTGGAATGTTGGGTCCAGTTCTGGGCTGCCCAGTTCAAGAGAGATCAGGAGCTACTAGAGAGAGTCCAGCAGAGGTCAGGGAGATGCTGAGGGGCTGGAACATCTCTGTGCCAGGCCAGGCTGAGAGCCCTGGGGCTGCGCCGCTGCAGAAGAGAAGCCTCTGAGGGGATCTGAGCAGTGCTGACCAAGAGCTAAAGGGCCCCGGGGGGCAAGAGGCTGGGGCCAGACTCTGGTCAGTGGTGCCAGTGACAGGACAAGGAGCAATGGGCACCAACTGGAACCCAGGAGGTGCCACCTGAGCAGGAGGAGAAACTTCTTTGGGGTGAGGGTGGCTGAGCCTGGAGCAGCTGCCCAGAGAGGCTGTGGAGTCTCCTGCTCTGGAGAGATCCCAAACCCTCCTGGCTGTGACCCTGGGCACCCTGCTGTGGGTGATGATTCCCAGAGGTCCCTTCCAGCCCCCTATGCTGTAGGATGCTGGGATCCCACCCTTGACCACACCACACCAGCAGCCAAGCTCTGCCAAGCCGAAGACCATCCAAACCAAAACACCTCAACAAATCCACCCCCCTGAGGAGCAGCAGAGCCCAGCTCAGGGTGGTGGTGGCGGAGGGGCCACTTTCTGTGCTCTCTTCAACCAGCAACACCCAAGAGACATCAACATCCCCAGAAAATCTCCTCGAGAGCACCCAAAAAATCCACCTTGAGAGCCCAGCCCCGCATCTCCCCACACACCCCCCCAGCAGATGCCCATCAATGAACCCTTGGAGGAGAAATTATCACCATCTCCCATCATGGAGCAGCACTCTGCTAAGCCCCAAAAAAACCCTTCCCCAGCTCCTCTCCCTGCCTTTCTTCCTCAGCTGAAAGAAAGAACTAAAGCAGTTCATGTTTCTCCTCGCTCCCTCAGAAGCAGCTTTGGATAACACCAGGGTCTTTCTTCTCAGGCAGTCATGCTGAAAAAACCCCTCGCAGCTCCCAGAGAATCATGTCAAGCATTTAGAGGCATCGATCCATTCAAGCCCCAATGTTGGCCTGATGCCAAGCAACTAAATATTTTTTTATTGCTCAAAGCTAAAAAAGGGGGGTAAAAAAAAAATTCATCTGAATGACTCCTTCTGATTATCGAGAGCATTAAACCTCCCCTGGCAACAGCTCATGGGTTTAGTTGATAGACCAGGAACCCCCCTTCCAACCTGGCACCCCCTCCCTGCTGCAGGAGGGGGTTAATGATGCCCAATTCCCCCCTCCAACCCCTCCCTTTTCAATAGCACTTTTCTTCCCATCCGCCCCCAGCGCTCCAAAGGTCCATTTGTGGGCTCGGGGAGGGGTGGAAATTGCTGCAAAGGGGGCTTTGTCCTCCCAGTTTTTTTCCCCCCTGCACCCCAGGGATTTAGGGGGGTGAGCCAAGCCCCTCCATGGGCAGAGCAACCCCCTACAAGTCTCCTATCCTTCCAAAAAACCCACATCCATCCACTCTTGAGCACCACATGCAGCCAAAATGAGAAGCAAACCGAGGTTGGAAGAGCCACAAATCAAATGCCACCAAGGCTGGAGGTGACACTTGCTCTCCACCACGGTGATTTAGCTGGTTAGTTAACTGCTTGACCTTCCAAGTCCTACTTAACACCATGTAATAGCCAAAAAAAAACTCAAAAAAAATCCCATCCCAACAGATTAGATGACTCAAGATGGTAGAAGAGTGATCAGGAATAAAATAGCTTCCCTAAGAGTGTTTTTTTTGAGCCAGCACTGGGCTGCAGCAAAGATTTAACCCCAAAATCTCATCTTCACCCCAGCACAGCAGCTCCTCCAGCCAGGCTGGGGTGGGTTTTTTTGGATTAAATAGGACCTATGTAAAAGGCATCCCCAGAGGTTTGGGTTTTAAGAAAATAGAGCAGATAAAATGATGCAGGCACCAGAAATTGAGAAAAAAAAAAAGGATGTTTGTGGTACTTACAGCACTGGAGTCTCGTTCTTTTAGGAGAGTTCATTGTCAGAGGTGAGGTCACAGTCAAAATAAAGAGAAGACAGACAAATAAAGCAAGTTAGAATAAGTCTACAACCAAAAAAATAAACCTAAAACCTACTCTGGGAGGCTGGGGGGAACTGGGTTGGCCAGCAAATGGGTGTATCGAGGGGAAAGATCTCAGATCTTCACGTGTTCATGGAGATCTTCAGTGTGGTTGGGTTAGCAACAGAACTCAAGCATCATTTCATCTCCTAAAATGATCATTTTAGGGCTAATAATAGGAAAACCCATCAAGTCTGCTGGCTGAGGTCAACCTGGCGGTGGCATTTCTTGGGGCAATTTGCACTCCCTGCCCTAAAAGAGCAAAGGAAGGGGCAGCCTGGAGACAGGTCCCCCCCCTGCCACCTCCCAAAGACCCTCCAACACCCCCCTCAAGCTGCTCCCGAGGAGCAACCCCACCTCAGCCAAGAGGGGAAAGCTTCAGGATCTCCTAGGAGGTCACCAGTTGGGACTTTGACCATCTGAAGAGCCTCTTTCTACCCCAACTACGATGCTCTGAGTACCCTGAAGCAGCAGCAGCTCCTCCCTTGGCCATCGAGGCTGATTGAAGGAGCTGGAGCATCACTGCATCCTGAAACCACCCAAATCTGGGCGTTTCTCACCCAAAGGGACAACTCCAACCCAACCCAACCCCTCATTCTCACCTCTGTGGTCCAGGTCGTGATGGTTCTTCTCATCCTTGACGGCGAGGTGTGCCTGGCTGCCCAGGGCACCCAGAGCCAGCAGCCCCGAGCTGCTGCCCGTCACCGGCGGGATGCCCGGGGGCTGCAGACCTGATGGGTGAGGTGGCAGCTGGACAGGGGGCCCGTGGGCGGCGTGGGAGAGGTGCTGGGCCTGGAGCTGCTGCTGCTGCAATGAAAGCACCCAGTGAGTCAGCCAGGGAGGGGAGGGGGGAACGTCGAGGGGCACGACGGGCACGGGGCGATGCCCCGAGGAGCTGCCCCGCTCGGCTGCCTGCAAGGAGAAGCCCTGTCAGAAGATGTCTCCATCAGGAGAAGCCCCATCAGAAGATGCCCCCATCAGCAGAAGCCCCACCAGAAGATGCTCCCATCAGGAGAAGCCCCATCGTGAGATGCCAAGGGGGCAGAAGGTGCCCCAAGCACAGCCCCCACCACGCCACGTGCCCCCGTGGCACCATCCTTAGCTCTGAGTAATCCCCATCGTTGCTGACTTGGCTCGTGCTGCTTTTCAGCAGATATGAAGGGAAAAAAAAACACTCAAGAACCACCACCCAGGAGGTGGAAAGTGGCTCTGGCTCCAGGGCCAGCAGCTAAACCAGAGCAGAGAGAGAGAAAACTTGAGCATCCTGCACCCCACCTCCAAAACAACAAGTTTTGTTCTTTGCTCAGCTTTAAGGTGCTTGATGGGGACAAGAAAACCACCCACAGGGCACCTCGGCCTCATCCTGCTGCTCCAAACCCCCTGTGGGCATCCACCAGCTGGATGTCCTCTGTAGCAGGGGAGCTGCAGGGCTGGGGGTCACCACCCCCTGCACCCAGAACCCAGTGGGTGACTGCAGCCCACCCAGGAGGGTGCAGGGAGCCCTGGTTGCTCCTCATCTCCTGGGGGTTTTGGGGAGTTGGGAGCCCTGGCTGTCCCCAGCACATTGCCATGGAGAATTCTGTTTGGGTTTAGCTGGAAAAAGCTGAACTAGAACTTTGGGGAGAAAATTCAAACACACCCCCACACCCACACCCCCACCAAGCTGAAAATCATCATGTCAGTGGCACGTCCTTGGTGGTGCCACTTCCAAGAGCCTCAGGACACTGCTCCTGTGGCTCCTCCACCCCAAGGACACCAGCAGTGCAGCCAGGAGGGTCTCAGAGCATTTCTGACCCCCCTGCCTGCACCCCCAGTCAGCTACAAC